TTCACATGTACATGCGACGTGAGCTACAAAGGTGGGATGCACTTCAGCAGTACCCCTAATTGTCGGAAACTCCCATATAGGGTACTAGAGCCCCTAGGGCCCTATATAGTAGGTACCTGGAAGGTTAGGGCTACTAGTGGTAATTATCGCGACTGAGCTATGGGTGGCAAAAGTCGAAAGGAATAGCAATTTTTCTTTGTGAAAGTCAACTATAGTTGGAATAACTGTATTACCTAGAGCAGTCGCACACGGCTTCGGTCTGATGAGGTTTTGCACACTTGACCACATGTTTGTGTGGCTTCGCTATTTTGCCCAAATTGTTGCAAGCTTCGTCGCGTTGCAAGTGCGTTGTACCTAAACAGTTCAAGTGTACGACCTGCACATGTAATTAAACTAAACCAGCTCATGAGCGGTCTCAGAACAGAGATCCCTCGTGAAAGGCCCATGGTGCGACTGAAGTGATGTATGTGTTTTGGCGACTTTGCCGACTTTTTTGGGATCCCACAAGCCGTTTACTCGAACATGGCCGCGGCTCAAGCATAGCAAGTTTCTGCCTGGAAGCATCATATATTTACTCAATGTTGCTTCATCCCTGAAGTCCCCCTTGAACAAGCAAACAGTATCAGCAGCGGGGGGTAAAGCGCGGCTGGGCATGTTTCGATACAGTCATGTACGCAAACCCGCAGTTTCTAGTATTGCGCCGATATGGCCTCGCAGCTGCGTCTTTTGGCGTTACTTTGCAATGTCGTCATTGCTGCCTGTGGTGTAGCACTGGCATACTTGTTTACCAGCGTGCATCGAGCTCCTCTGCCTCGTGATGAAATTGCAGCATTGCCAACCTTCGTCCAGCATCCGTTGGGCAGGCCCGTGCGCTGGCCACAGGTGCAAATCGAGGTGTCTATGGCAAAGGAAACCGATTTCAGCGCCGAGGTGATCCACACTTTTGTCGGTGTGCTATCGGAATCCTTACGTGGCAGAGCGCTCCTGAAGATTCGGGCTGATAATTCCATCCACACCGGTATGCCCATGCCGTGTTTGGCGGCCGATGTAGAGACATGCTTAGAATCCCTCGAGATGCAGGCTTCACGGCGCTCGCCTCGCCTCGACAGCACGTTTGAGCTAATACTCATTAGTTCGAGGAGAGGCTCTTCTGTCATCCTGGATGCTGGAAAAAGGGCTTTCGTGAGGTGGGAACAACAAGCGATCTCCATGGAGCAGATGGTGAGCTCTGTATCGCAGCATCTGGAGGCCAGCTGGTTGCGCCCAGAGGCACTGAATGAAGGAGTGGCACTCTTTGAGATCACACCCGGCTATGTTTTCAGCTTTTTTCTCGTTGGTGACTGCCGAAACCGAGTGTCCTGGGATTTCGATGTACTGTCACCATTCCTGTCCCGTTTTCTTGAACGATTACAGCTGATTTTCGACATCGAGCTCAATTCACAGGTTATTCAATGTGGCTCCTTGGGCACTCCGCTTGAGCCTGCCGAACAAGCGCACGGGACAGTGGATGCAAACATGCTGCAGGCAGATTTCATGCGAAGGACGGGCGAGTGGCCCGCAGACACCCTTACTCGCGATGCTAGATGGCTGCCTCCGTTGGTGCGATTGGTTGCCTTCAAGCCTTCCACTGCTGTGAAGTTGGCCGATGAACGAGGTCAGGTGCAACATTCCTTTGCTCTGCAAGGTTTTGGAGCAGTTGCAATAGCTGCTTGCGGGAACCAGACAAGCTCTGAAAGCTTTCGTCACAGTTTGACTTCCTGTGAAGCAGAGACGGTGACTTCTGGCTGGATTTCCAGCCTGCGGTCTTGGCTCTCGCTACCAGCAAACGAATCGGTTGCTAAAGGAGCACGGCAAGTTGACGCTGACGGAAGCGGAGTGGCATTGCTTGCTGCAAGGCCTCGGCTTGATGGGATTTCCGATTGGGAGTTCGAGATCCTGGCGAGAGCAGTGCATGCACAGTTTTTGAGACGAACTGTGGAGACATTGCGTAGTCTTGTCGAGTTGGTTGATTCTCTGCCGGACGTAGAGGTCCGTCAAGAAATCGCATCCATGGCCTTCAAGGCGACCCAGAAAACGAAGGCATCAATCGAAGCCGCGGAGAAGGGCGACTTGCTGCCTGCGCTGGTGGAGTCTCGGCAAGCTCTGGTGCTGGCGCTGACCGCCATCCATGACGATTCCGTGGTTTCACAGCTGTATTTCTCGTGGGAATTCAAATATGCCGTGTATTTGCCAATTTCTATGCCCATTCTGGTGCCCATTCTGACTTCGACTTGGCGTTTCATGCAATCCTGGATGAACTGCAGGAAAAGAGCAAAACGCTCAGATTCAGCCGCATCAGAGGACCGTGGAATCTAGCTGTCCAGCATTGACGTTAATGACATCAAAAATCTCCGATTAAGAGGTTGCTTTTGGTCCTTATCTGTCGCAGTGTGCAGTAAGGTGTTGGAGCCCTGTTGATTCAACCCTTTCTGATCCGTCGATGTAGAACTCAGCCTTTGTTATTTTAGGGTTAGGTTTGTCAGGATGAGAGTTCGCAGAGGCTCGGCAAACAGTGGCAATGACCACTTCTTGTGCGGATTATACTGCTCAGCATGTGAGTTGACTTTGGCTTGTGTCTTGTTGCTGCCTGCTGGCTAACATGAGCAGTATGATGAGGGCTTACTGATATCCGACTGTGAACCGATAGAAGTCGCCGGGTTGGAACGAGTTGTGGATGCGTATACCCGTTCACCCTAAATTTCTGGATAGACCATTCGCGGCACCCCCAACCCTGCCGTGCCAGGGTGTGCTCAGACATGGCGGGTGCGGCGTGGCTGCAAGAAGATGGGAAAGAAGCAGCGGGGAATAAGGCCTGCAAGGTAGAGCTGCGCATGGAAATGGTTGAGCCGAAGAACCTCAGTCATGATGATGAATGACAATGACGATGGCGATGAGGATGGCGATGGTGGGTCAGGGGCTCTACGTTGCCCGTGAATTGTGAGGGGTTGCACCAGTCTTCACCCCCGCAAAGCTTTCCATCAAGCTTTTGAACCATTGCTGATGACGATGGCGATGAAGATGACGATGGTGATGGTGATGGTGATGGATGATTGTGATGTGATGACGCTTCATGATGATGATGCGAATGGTGGGATGGGATGACGCGAGCGGGGATGGAGATGATATGGGATGGGATAGGCTAGTGTGGGGTCAGGATGAGGATAAAAAAGGATACCTGCATGCGGCGTTTCCAGGACGAGTATTGGTGAACATGGGCTGATGTTGAAAACGGGCGAACAGAACTGACTAGAAGGGGCATGCAAAGTGCTGAAAGCATGCACCAATGACCCGTGAATAAAGCCCTGCACCGTCAGGCTTCGCTGAACCTCAGCAGGCTCTTACCAGAAACTGTTCAGCCGGTTATCAGGAACCCTCAACACTAAACTCTAAACCCTTAGCACATTGCCATGCCTGCCTTGTGCGAGTGTGTGAGTCGAAACCCTTAGCACATGAGAGCCCTAACAGCACAACTTGTCGCCTTAGGTGACGTTCGGCGGAGTCATCGAAGCTTTGGCCGCGAAGGTGGGCCTCCCGGCGGCGCACCTCACCGAGGCGGAGATTATGAGTAAGGGTTGCCTTTTTCATCCTTTTGCTATATCCACACATATGGTAACAAACGAGTAACCAAAATTCCGCTCTGTTCTGTGTTCTGTTCTGTTCTGTTCTGTTCTACTCTACTGTTCTGCTCTGGTCTGTTGAAATTTGACTTCAATTCAACCCTATTCGATGCGATTTCGTGCTGTTACACAGTATATGCGGAATTCTTGCATAGTACAGTACCATGGTCATGGTCATGGTAATCGTAATGGTCATGGTCATGGTAATGGTAATGGTATGGTATGATAGAGTAGAGTAGAATAGAGTAGAGNNAGTAGAGTGGAGTAGAGTCGAGTTTCGTAAAGTATCGTACAGTGTAGCATGATATCGTACGACAGAATGTACTACACTACAGTAGTGTAGTGTCGTATTTTGTGTTGTATGAATCGAGGGTTTGGGCAGGGTCTATCAGGGTTTTTCTGGTGCTCGCAAATGCTGCGGTAGAGCTTTCTTCCACAGCCCTTATACAAAGCACCATCATTGAATTCCCACATGGATCACCCACACTCACAAGCCTCCCCAAACCCTAAAACCCCTTAGTTAAACCCCCCCCCCCAAAAAAAAAAAAAAAA